ATATATATATATATATATATATATATATATATATATATATATACATATAAAAGAAGAAGTTTAAAAGAAAAGCTACACGATTTCCAGGAATCAAGACTGCCTTAAATGATACAAAAAAGGCTGATTCCTTTAAAGTGACATAGAAAGAAATTTGAATTTGTCAAAAAGTTTAAAACAATTAATTATATAGACAATATGTGTTCTTATTCCACATGCATACACACTTTGTACACATACTGTATGTGTGTGGTCTGTTGTAGTGTGTGTCTATGCATGTGTTTGTTGTAGTGTGTGTCTATGCATGTGTTTGTGGATATGTGTATCTGTGACAGCCACAGCATCAGATTTAACCTGCCAACCAGTGGACAGGAACATGAAATGGGAAATTGGTTTTGGGACAACCAATCAGAAAAAGTTCTCCGTAAACAGGAAGGACCCATCACAGTGGTCTTGTCGGCTGTCAGTCATTTTTAAAATGACCTGCCCACATTCTTTACTGAAAATGTCAGTCAGTGCCTAATACCCCCTCTGGAGGAAAGTACTTAGCTTTCTGCCAGGGTGCACAAAAGCTGAAGCCCAAATAAATGTATTTTTACAGAATAATGTGTAATCCATCCATTATCTTTACCCACTTCTTCCTTTTCAGGTTGCGGCGGTCACTGGTGCCCATATCCAGCAGTCACTGTGTGAGAGGCGGGGGACACCCTGGACAGGTCTCCAGTCCATCACAGGGACACGTAAAGACAAACGAGACAAACTCTCACACTCACTCACACCTAGGGTCAATTTAGAGTTACCAATCAGACTAGCGTGCAGGTTTTTGGACAGTGGGAGGAAACCTGAGTACCCAGAGAAAACCCACACATGCACGCAGAGATCATGCAAACTCCACCCAGAAAGGTCACCAGCCTGGATTCGATTTGGTGACCATTTCACTGAGAGGCATCAGTTCTACCAACTGAACCACTGTGCCACCAGAATAATGTGTAATTAGTCAAAACAAACATGCAGTGATAGCCATTTCAATGTGTGTTAGCAAAAAAACCAAAACAACAAAAAAAACTACATATTTAGGGAGTACATGTCTGTTAATCTGTTCATTCTTTTACAGATTATTTTTGTGACTTGTCAAACAAATACAATGAATGATAACCTGGTTGTAGAGCTTCTCTCCATCTTCCCGAATAACGTGAATATTTTGTGATGTCGGGACCTATAATTTATTGTTGGATTTAATACCTTTTCAATAGTATGTGATTTTTTTTTTGCTCCCCTGCCTTGCAGAGGCTTGGTTGACAGTGGTCTCTGAATGTTATATTGTCACATTAAGGCTTTGTGTTTGACTAGCTGAGTGTGTGTAATCTGTCAGAGCCTGGTGAAACGATCAACAGCTCACCCTGTCAGAGGGCCACTTAAGGCAAGACACAGACACATGTGCATACACACGCAAACACACAAATGGTATCATGAGAATGGCACGGTTGATGTGTGCAACTCGGCTGGTGACAGCACTTAACGCACAATTATTCTCCATTTCTTTTGTTTCCATTTCCCGTTATTTTCCCTGTTTCTTTCACTTTACTCATTTCTTTGTTGACATATTCATTGTTTTTTTTTGTTTTTTTTGCAAGGCCAGAGTCATAAACTATTGTTATGTGTGGGGGTAAATGGCTTGTGCGTTCAAGAATTCAAAAGATAATACCTAAAAAATATTTCAGTTATGCTGTCACAGAGATAGTTCAGATTTTTTGAAGTATGGTTCTGTTTAAAGTTTATGAACAATGATGTATGGATGTATGTATGCATGTATGGATGGATGCATGCATGGATGGATGGATGGATGGATGGATGGATGGATGCATGGATGGATGGGTGGATGGATGGATGGATGGATGGATGGATGGATGGATGGATGGATGGATGGATGGATGGATGGGTGCATGGATGGATGGGTGGATGCTTGGATGCTTGGATGGATGCATGCATGCATGAATGGATGCATGGATGGATGCATGGATGGATGGATTACACAAACATTAAAATAAACTACCACAGATGTTGAAATAATGTTTTTTTCTGTACACCCCAGGAAGAAGGAAAAGTAAGACATGTATATTTAAAATAACTATTCATTTTTAAACAAACAAGTTGAAAATGCAATGTAAAAATAGATATGTTAAAGAAATGCGAATTCTCTGCATCTGTGTTTTGAATCTACTATAGTTTATAGTATGAATGTTAAATGTATTTACTTCCTCACTTGCTGCTTCACCAACTTAGTTTTCACACTCAGCTCCAAAAGCTGAACAAAATTCAGTCAACTACGTTCAGCTTCTAAGATGAAGGCCAAGTTACCTCTTTTTTTTTTTTTTTTGCTATCAAGTCTCTTTTGGCATCATACAATGGTAAAAATAAAATAAAAAATAAAAACTTTTGACCCTTATATTTGGGTATACCTCCTCCTTTCCAAAATCACATCCTAGCTTTCCATAATGTGTGAGACTCAAAGTAAACCATGAAAATTAAAACAGTGGTCTAAATGTGAAAAGCTTATTTGTGGTCTGGAACAACTGAGTGCCAATTTCCAAAGTCAACCACTGTGTTGAATTACTGTGAAAACACAACCATTTCTCACCTCCCCAATGAAACTTGATTAAAAAAAAAAAAAAAAAAGAGCAGCACTCCAGCTAATCCATCAGCAGTTTTACCTGTCCACCCCAACAACATCATTAGTGCTCTTTTAATCTTAAATATCTCTCTTGAAAGTTTACAATTTGACAACTGCTTTCCTTATTGAGCACAACCAATTAACATAATGATGTGTTTTCTGTAGGTTGGTGAAGAATTATGACTTAATGAGCTAGGCCTTCAGTAAAGGATGCAATATTGCCACATCCTGCTAAATGTTAATGTCAAAGACCCTACAGAATCAAGGTCTTATTACTTCAATGTGCTGTTAGTTTTTCAATCTAGTGACTCGTGGACATGAAGTGCTTTCCCTCATTTTAAACATCAAATAAAACCTATGACTTATGGTTTAATTTTGTACAGTCACTAATAACCTTAATATAAATGCCAACCGTACAACAAACAGGAAAACTAACAAGGACAACCCATCTGAACATATACCGTACATGTACCCTGAAAAAGTCCACCCATTCAATTACAACATGCGATTGCAATAATTTGTACAGAAATTTAACAATAACATACATGACTTACTGTTGCTTTAAAATTTCTTCATGTAATGAAACCAAAACACAACTGTATTATTGAAATTATTCCTGCAAACCCTAAATGGGTTATTGAATATTCATTTTCTTAGAGCAACTACAATGTCATAGTCAGTTTTTGAATTTACAGGTTGTGACTGAATGCAACACAAATCTTCACGTGGTCAAAAAAAAAAATTAATAATAATAATAAGTGCCTTGCAAGGGCTTCCTGAAGGCTCAGAGCCCAGTGTTTTGGTCCCACCCACTCTACATATGAATTGCGATTGGTTATTTTTTGCTGTTAGTTATTAAACAAACTCATACTGGAGAGACTTTCACAGACCTTAGCCTTCTCTAATGACAGTGAAGTCCTAACCAAATGAGAATTAACCTTCAAACATGTTTCTTCCTGATTAACTTTTGTCAGTCAAGAAGAAAAAAAAACATTAAACGAGTCCCACTGGATACATGTATGTTCATGAATTAAAAACAAGCTTCTAAAAAAGTTAAATCTGGTCCTCTGGACATTCAAAAAAACAAAACAAAGCAAAACAACAAAAAAAATGTAGAAACGTTTCGTCTCTCATCCGAGAGACTTCCTCAGTCTGAGG